ACTTTGTCTAAACTTTCCTTTGGTTATGTCTATGTCAATCTGATTGGATGGGGTTGTCCTGTGACCCTACATTCATTCTTCTCAGGCATTACATGGAATAAGCACACAGTTAGACCAGCAAAAGTGTTATCAGTCCATGAACAGCCTGTTTACAAGGAATGTTGAGTAAGGGTGGAACTGTGCAGTCCTGTACCAGATAAACAGAAGTCTTGCAGCTGTCCTGCACAGAACTCACAGATTAAAAAAAAAGAATAAAGTGCTAAACTGTGTAATACTGAAGGCGGGATGATAATATTTCATGTAAAGGAAGGAAGCCAAGAGGGTATGCTCATATATAAATGATAAGGTCAAACTCATATCAAAAATCCTTTCCTTCCTCGGTTCCTCTTTCCCTCTCTCTCTGCCTCCCTCCTTCCCTCTCTCTCTCCCTCTCTCAAAAGCCTTTCCCTCCCTCCCTCCCTCTCCCCCTCAAAAATCTTTCCCTTCCTCCCTCCCTGCCTTTCTGTCTCTTCCTCTTTCCCTTCCTCCCTTTCTGACCTTCCTTTTTTTTCCCCTTTTCTAATTATATCAACTTCTGCTTTTTATGCATTTCTTAATTCCCTTAGTCCCCTTGTTGTGCAGCTTTGCAAAAGCAAGGAAGAGTAAACATATTCTTTGCTTTAATGTGTAGGATTTCGGTTGGATTTCTCAGTATTATACAGCCCTTTACTCTGGCTACCGCTAGATAATGCTCAGAGAATACAAATAATTTCAACACTAGGTTTAGTAATATTAATTTTTTTTCTTTTCTCATGGTTGTGAGCAGAAAAGACGAATGATATCAAAGGAAATGCAGCAAAGGAGGAGGGTAATAAGGTGAGGGTGGAGAGGGTTTTTCCAACACATGGAAGGTAAGGAGGGAAAGGAGAAGTCAGCATTGACACATTCTCTAACCAGCATAGCTGGTTCCATACCAATTATTTCCGACCAATTTGTTCTGATTTCTTCTGCATCTGTGAGAGTGCATCTGTTTCTGTGGCAGCCTTGGCAGTGGTATTTACCAAATCCCTGTTTGTAAGTCTGTGTGGTTTGCAACACATGCTCTTTAATTCCATGGAAGCAGCATGTTCTAGAGAACTGCAGATGTTATTTTGTGTCAACTATCAGGAGGAAACACTAGGGAGGCTCTCCTGCCTCTTTGTAATGAGGAAAGCACACTGTAACAGAAGCCTCTGCTCCATCAGCTCCCTAGGATTTCTCAAGTGTAGACAAGAATTATGCAGTGGTGTGCTTTAAACTGAAAAACGCCATGATGGTCCTGAGCAACTGTGACACATTCTAAGGCAGTCATTCGTACCTCACATGTGCCCTGAGTTTGACAGTCAATCTCTTTGTAGTAGTTTCTTTTAAGAGCCTATGCTGTTCACAATCAACAAATGTGGACAGGGATGTGTTCCACTGTTCTGCTCTTGCAAGAGATAGGCAAAACAGTGAGTATGTCTTGCAAGTTTTGTTATTTCACACTCAGTTTGCAGGAAGCTGGACATGGAGGCTTTCCCTTGGCTTACACTCATGCAGTCTTTCCTAACAGCAGCCCCAGCATGAGTCCTGACTGTGTTCCAGCTCCACTAGAGGACAGGATCAGGTCTTCCACTTTGCTCCAGTTTCTGTTCAGGCATGCAGCCCAAAGTTTCAGAAAGGTGTTGAGTAACTCTTGATGGATGCCTTGTTTCGACTATGAGGCAATTGTGATTCAGTGTGGCAGATGCATCCAGCTCACAGCTTGAGCTCTCTCTTGTGACTTTTAAGTCATTATTATTTTATTAGCAACATCTCTAAAACTTTGTTCAGCGCTTATTTGAAGCATGAATAACACTGGAATCAGTCCAATACCTTGCATTTTTATATTGTTTTGGCCTATGCTCCCAGAGGATATGGACAGGAGTCTGCCCTTCAGTTGCCCATGTGGGTTTAAACCCCTTGGCAGGCACACAGACCTTTACCAACGACACAGTGCAGAGTCTTTTGGGGAAAGCTCGTTAATCCCTGGATGTGTAGAGTGCTGAGAGAGACCCACTCCTAAGACATTAAGTGTGAATTCAACAAAATCTTGAAACAAATATGCAGGTAAATAAGACAGGGCTAATCGAGGGTCCCTGGGAGTCAGAAGGGAAGGCAGCAGCAGAAAGGGCAGGAAATCTCTCCCTTTGGAATTTGAACTAAATAATGTGCCAAAGACAAGTGACTGTCTTCATGATATTTAGAAGACAACTGAAACACCAGAGGCAAGAGTTTGCTTTAACTAGAAGTCTCGAGTCTCCCTAGAGTGAAGTGGTCTCTGCAGTTAGATGCAGATAAGAGTTATTTTGGCAGGATAGAATGTCACACCCAGCTTTGGTTACAATGCAAGGGTGTGACACCACACAGCAGCTTGGAGTAGACACGCAAACCTCAAACCCTTAATTATCTTCTGACTACAAGTCCTTCGGACAGCTGCTGAAAAAAAGCAAAGAAATCAAACATCCAGCTGCTGTCTCAGGTGCTTATTCTTCAGGGCCTGTGACATGTCATGACACAACATGACAGTGCCCCAGTGAAATGAAATGAATTAATTTCTTATGCAGATGCTTTTATTTCATTACACTTATTTCATGGCTTCATTTAAGGCTGGGCAAGTGTTTCTGAAAACCAGCAGTAGATATTTCTGAGAGTAATTTGCCTTTGGAGGTGTAAAAGCTAATTTTATGCTGGTTTAATGAAACATGCCTATATTTGTACAATCTGAAAACTAAAAAAAGATATAAGGCTTCAAGTATGCAAAGACAATTCATTTCTTACCTTTCCAGTTATGCTGAGCACCACCATATTCAACTAGACCACAGATGCTGATGAAGCAAGCAATGATTTTTTCTCTTGATGAGTTTATAACAAATTTTTATCTTTATCCATTGCACATCTAATTAAACCTCTTTTGCAACTGAGAAGTTCATTGAATTGAACAATTATGACATTTAATATGAAGCTAAATTCAACTGTCATTATCACTCACTCTTCAAATAAATCCAGAAAATCCTTTAATTACAGTTATTCCAGTTCTACTGGTAGAAGTGATGCTTCATAAAGCTACTATAAATGTCAATAGCAAACTTATTTCTGCACCTTTTGAAAATTGTAATTTGAACCAATATTTTGCCTACTATTTTGGTCTGTGTCTATGTTACCTTGACATCACACTGGTTGAAGTGGCTTCAAACTGGATATTTTGTGACATTGTAGATCAGTCAAGTCTGAATTTCTTTTCAAATGGCTTAATCTTTGGGGGGAAAAAATAGCAATACAGCATTAAGTTTTCCTGTTAGTCTGTAACCAGTCTAAAGACTGAATAAAGTCTAAAGTCTAGAGTGAATTGGACAGAAGAAGGGGTTTTGCTACAGAGCAAAGATTTAAGTATAACCTGGCTAAACAATTGAGTCTGTACTAGCACACATAACTTCATCTGGAAATAATGGCTGACACAAGCAATAGTAAGGCCCAGTTACTCAAACATCAACAAGTAATGCACAGGTCAAACACTAAAAGATTAAGACTGTGCAGAGAATTGCTAATGTGTTTTCAGTCAGTAGTTGCAAATTAAATACCCCTGACACAGCAATTTTGAAATGGAAAACAAAATTCTTTTGGAATGGAAGTGTGATCATAGAGTAGCATGGTGTGTAAAATAGTGAGTTTTACTGTTAACAGCTGCACAGATCTAAGTCTAAGAGCGATAAAAGTCATTAAGGGAATCACATGTCTTTTGGAAGAATAGCTGACATGATTCAGGGAAGGAGATCCAGGGAAAATTTGGGCACCCAGCCAAGCACTCCCTTCATGCGCAGAGCATGTTCAGAACAAGAGCCTCCATGCTCTGCAGACTTTCACCTGCAGGTGGACAGCAGGACACTGGACCTTTCCTCATGAGCCCCTTCTCTGTGAAACACTGAGAGCATGGGAAAAGCTCTATAAGGCAGAAAACCGAAACAGTGCTTTCTTATGATCCATCAGATCATTTATGCCTCATTTAGTCCCTGTGCCTATTTTCTGACAAGGTTGTCCAGATTTTACTTGAGACTGGTGCTGGACTAGAGTTGTTGTTTCCACTTGGAAATGTTCCCCAGCTAACGATATTCATGATTGCCAGTCCTCTGGCAGCCTTGCTGGGATATGTGCCTTGTGTGCATGTCTTCAAGTGCCCACGTTTCCCTTGAAGGCAGCCAGCAGTCAGAGCTCAGGCTCTACACCTGGCTTTTGGGGGGCTGAGGTGAGGGTGGGGAAAGGCAGGGAGTGCAAAGGCTGTCAGTGCAGGTTTTGCCCTTGCTGCTGAGGGTCATGGGGCTTGTGTGACCAACAGAGATGGTGACAGGCCTTGAGGGGAAGCTGTATGAGGAGTGGCTGAAGTCACTTGGTCTGATCAGCCTGGAGGAGACTGAGGGGAGACCTCATCACTTTCCTCATGAAAGGAAGCAGGGGAGACACTTATCTCTTCTCAGGTGACCAGTGAGGGACCTTGAGGGAATGGCATTAAGCTGTGTCAGGAGAGGTTTAGGCTGGATATTAGAAAAAGGTTCTTCACCCAGAGGGTGGCTGGGAACTGGAACAGGCTCCCCAGGGAAATGGTCACGGCACCAAGCCTGTCTGAATTCTAGGGCAACACTCTCGGGAACGTGGGGTGACTCTTGGGGATGGTCCAATGCAGGGCTAAGAGTTAGACTCGACGGCCCTTGTAGGTCCCTTTCAAGTCAGAATTCTGTGAGCTGCCCGACACCGCTGCCCCGGGAAGCACAGAGCGGTGGCGACGGACCCGCGGGTCACCTCTCTCGTTCCCTCGGCCCGCTCGCCTGGGGGGGAGCGAACTACAACTCCCGGCGTGCAGCACGGCGCGGGCCGCCCGCCGCTCCGATTGGCTGCCTGCCCCCCGCCCTCTCCGCGTGACGGTGCGGGGCTGGCCGCGGCGCCCCCCGCGCGCTGGGGCAGGGGAGCGCATGGCGGCGGCGGCGGCGGCGGCGGCGTGGGGGCGGCTCCTGCGGGGGGCGCGCGGGGCGGCCTCGCGCCGCGCCTGCAGCACCGGGGCGCGCGCCAGGGCCGCCTCGGCCGCCGCGCAGGTGAGGGGGGACCGGGGACCGGCGGGGCCGCGGTGCGGGCAGCGCTCGGCACCGGCAGCGGGCGGGGGGCGCTGGGCAGGCGAGCCGTGGTGAGAAGAAGATGTGTTGCGTGGAGGAGCGCTCCGGTAACCGTGGCAGCGCCTGGCGGGGTGACCAGGGGTCTTGGGCACCGCGGGCGGAGGCTGCCAGCGCGTTCCAGAGAAAGGCAACCTGTCCATAGAATTTTGCAACGTATCCCGGACCGACCGGTGGTTTCTGCGGTGAACATGGCCTCATCATGTATAGGGGGAGGGAAGAGTCAACAAAACATGTAGTAATGCATAATGCTATGTCCTTCCTTTGTTGAAATGTCACCCTTACTTTGGAAGTACGTGGGACACCGGGTCTCATGGACTGAGCCGGTCCTGTGCTCCTGCCCAGCCAAAGGAGAGATTACACAACGCTCTTTGATCAGCCTGGGTCAAAACCCGAGTGGTTTGGCAGCTTTCGGTGGTTGTGCTCCGATGGTCATGCGAACTTCGCACTGAACCTGTTTGTTCTGGTGCTGGCGCAAAATCAACTCAGGTGTTGCCCTGATACAGCTTCTCCCCGTTTAACTTTCTGTCCATCGGGTGGATTCGGTCTCCTGCTGTCCAAATGCAGGAGAAAAAGCTGCACGGAAAGGCAAAGGTTCCGTAGCTGTCTAGCAGAAATAGGGCATGGCACACAGAGCAATCCCAGCTGGAGCATGTTTTATTGAGTTACTTGCAATTGCATGGCTGGCTTTAACAAACAAAATAAGCTAAAGCTACTAGTGACAGACTGTGTCGCCAGAATTGAAGGCATTCACTGCCACTTATTTACAGGAAACCAAATGGATTCTTGCATTGCTTTATTGCATGGTTATTTGGCTCAGAAAACTAGAAAGGCTATTGAATTTGTTTTGTTTTTTTGTTTTCCTAGGCCACAAACATTTTTATAAGTTCTGGTCAGAATTACTTTTCACTACTGTCTTTATATCAGGTAGCTTTAACAAATATCCAGGAATACTTCTGAGAGAGCTTGACTACAACATCCATCTGAAAGCCCTATGTCCCTTAGGGGCAAAAAGCCACCGTAGCTGGAAGAATGGGATGGGGGATACGCATTTGTGGCATAGTAAATATGAAAAGCATGCTAGGGCACTGCCTCATATCCTACAGGGCTTGAGAAGCGAGCTAGTGTAAAAACAAAGACTTAGCAACTTTGCAGACTTAGCAGCTATACAGTGATAATATACTCATTGATCCTTTCTGTTCCCAGTCTCTCCTGGGATTCATCTGTAGAGAGAAGCAATTAGTGTTACAGCCATAGGGGACAGTGAAATGTGCTTTCAAATGAGAGAATACTGAAACATTCAGAGCAGTTGTGAATACTGCTTGATTGTCTTCTGTGCTGAAGCTGCAAGCATTCATGGGTTCTGTTTACTTTCCTGAGGTTTTGGGAAGGAGGTACGTGGAAAGGGGAGAAGAGAGCACTAGATTATATTTCAGTCCCCTTTGAAATGTTTATGCCAGCTGTGGAAGGAAGAGCTGTGTAACTCAGGCGGTTCAAGAGATGACTGGGAGGCTGTGTCCAAGGCTATCCATTGTAAGTCTTTTGGTGAGGTTGCAAACAGTGGAGTCGGTACAGCTGCTGTACTAGCGGTGTGTGGAGAGCAATTTACTTGCTGGAATCATGGTTTTGAAATACTGTTGTCAGTCTTGGAGGTGTGCACAGAGTGGAGTTCCTTTTTCTAAGACTAGATTAGGGCATGAAGCTAAGGCACTCTGAAAGCAGCGTTTTCACTGGTGTTTGGTTGTGTGCAAGTGTTTGTTTTGGTTTTTTTTGGCTAGTTCACAGTTAACGAAGTTTGATGCCATCTTGTACCCATGGTAATATATACCCAGATTCTATTCTTGAATTAAAACAATCAGGTAGGATGACCTGTTTCTACTACAGAACTGGAAATCAGCGTATTTTTTTAAATTCTGCTCTAGATGTATCATGTTCATTAAGGGTCTTGATACAAAGTTTTACTTAATTTTTCTCCATCTGCTCTTGTAGATCCTGTAATCCAAACACAACCACCTGAAAATTTCTGTGGCCACAATGAAGCCTTCAGTGCTGGATAAAGCGGAGAGTTCAGCTTGTCCAGAAGGACCTCACATGGCCCTAGTTCTCGGCCAGTCGTGTCTGAAACTCTGTGTACCGCTGCTCTGTTTTGTGGGTAGCCAGTGGCAGTCCCTAGGCAGTGCTCTCCATGCCAGTACCCACAAGTGTAGCCTGCTGTTTGGGGTCAGCTCTTGGGCAGCAGCTGCTGAGCCCTCACAAAAACATTTGTCTTGGACTTCTCAGCTCAGACCTCATTCTGGCACTTGGCCTACTTAGACCCATTTCACCTTCTGCGGTTGTCTGATTTCCAGGTTGAACCAAGGACATTATGTCACCACTTCCTAATAAGATGTTAAAGGTGAGGCATGAAAGGGAAGAGCTCTTGCTGAGTTGTGTCTGTGATGCTGCAGCCGTGTTAGGTACCACACTGAGACAGCAGTGCTGTGCACAAATCCAGCAGGATTGCGGGAGCTTGAAGAGCCAGAGGATGCAGGAGCAGCACTAGCACTGTCATGAGTACACGGGCTGTAGTAGTCCCTGAGGGCTGTGCAGAAGTCTTTGCAAGCTTTACTCTTTTCTAGTGCATAAATATCACTCGGGATGAAGTGAAGGTGGAAGAGTAGAGCAAGGATAGTACTTGGTCTTCAGCTTGATTAGTAGATAAGAATTCGGTTGTCTGTCCCCTTGTGTTTAACTGAGCCTTTCTAGTATCTGTCAGTTTGTGGTGTTTCTGATGGTTCTTGATACCTCTGCTGACAGCTTCCAATTTTGCTGCATTGTTAGACGAGTTCTCCTGGAAATCACAGGTGAATTGTCAGGTCTGAAGGGTTGACAGCTTGTCAAAATATAGCTGCAAGGTGCAGTCATCTAAGCTCTCATTCTTTCAGTACTGGTATAGAATATGTGATTGACAGCCAAGAGAATGAACCTGTTTTTTTCATGGATCAGATAAAGCATGCTGTGTGACAGAGCGTACTCCTCCCATGTGCAGAAATGTCTCCTATCGACTATGGAGAGAGCGGCGTGGGGACTTAAGGGTTATAGACATCCCTTTTGAGTGAAAAAGTTGTGTAATTGGGCAATGATATGTTAAAATACCAGCAACTATCCACCTTTTCCTACTTCAGGAACTGAATAGCCCTTTTCCTGTAGCCTGGGAACTGTAGACTTTTCCTGTAGCAGGCTTTTGCTTTCTTCCTGTTCCAATAGCTCTCACAAAGGCTGCAAGTGACAAGGTTCAACCTCAATCTATTGTTCCCCTTCAGAGAATCCTACTTACACAACAACCTGAGAGAATGCTTCATCCTTGCCCTGAATTACCAGGAAGGCAGCTGAGTTTTCATCTCTGATAATCGGCCTTTTCTGTGGTATCGATAAAAATGACTCAGTGCTGGGTGCCGTAGCAGTTTTGGTAGTACAGGATCCACCTCTGCTGGAGTTCAAGCTGATGGTACTGGCTTATGGGTATCTCCTAATTCCTCTGTGCTGAAATCTAATTGGTCAGAAACTGAATAACTTAAAAATTCCATCTCCTGTCATTCTTCCCTCCAGACAAACCCATTTCTGTACACAACAAGAAAATGATGGAAAGAAGTTCTACTAGTTGTGTAAAACATTTTTGTTTTCCCTGTTCTAAAACCCACTACTTCACAGCAAGAGTTAGTTATTTCCAATAGAAACTTTAAAGTTTGACACCAATTTATTGCTGAGTGCCTGTTCTTTAAATGCTGCTTCTTGACAGTTCACATTTGATAATTAATGAAGGACAGCATTATTCCTCTTACTTTAGCTGCCTTACCTATAGCAGCCATGCAGATGGGTGACAGACCAGCAACAGAACTGGTCTCCTGTGTCCCACTCCAGTGGTGGCTCCTTCCTGAAAATAAGAAATTATTTTAAGCATATTACTGTCTTTGAAACTATGCAGTTTTATCTTCCATTACATAAAAGTGTTAGTGTTCCTCGTTAGCCCCCACCTTTCCTTCAGGGAAGACAACTTTTCCCTTCTTTCCCTGCCTGTAATGCACACTCTAAAACTGGGAGACAGGAGGTTTGTACTGTTTTGTCTTCAAATGAAGTGGTAAGGAAGCCCAATCCTGAATAAGATGCAAAAAAGAGTAACTGGGAAAGAAATGGGAGAGAAGGCTTCCACAAGAGGGGCTCAGATAATTTTAATAAACCTGGGAGCTTTCCCTCCCATATGTGGACACTTGTCCAAAATAATAGGAAGATATGCAACCAGGCCAGAAAGCAGCATAGTTTTCAAGAAAGAAAAACACTTTTTTGTGTTGTGTTTTTTCTGAGTTTGGCAGATTTAAAATATCCTTAGACTTAGTCTGTTCAGGGGTGAATTTTCTGACTGGGGAAGATGAAGGAAGGTAGTCTGGGTTTACCTGGGCTCCTTGAGTTAACCTTGCTTGTATTTGGAGAAACACTTACTTACAATAAGTGGAACACAGCATTTCTATCAAAGGCAAGGGATTCCCAATTTGGCATTTTTTTGGTAACCTAAGGCTATGCAGAGCTCTTCAGCAACCTGCACAGCCCAAGGCTGGAGCATTTTCCTGGGGTGTTTAGAAACCAGATGACTTGTTGCGCATGCTGCAGGAAGGAGAGGTGAAGGAAAGTGTGTGAGCAGCGGGTGTGGCTGCAGAGTGGTTGCCAACTTGTGCTGCAGGAAGGGAAGGCCACGTCTATGGCCTTGCATTCCATGTGCCTCTCCTGTTGCAGCCCCTGCAATTGAAAGTGATTGCTTTCTTCCCGCAGAAAAGCAATTCCATGGAAACTACTACTGCAGTTTTATCAGGAGTAAACAGATGTTTTCTGGACTTTGAAACAGCCACTTGGTATTTCCTTTGTCTCCTCTAGCTCCTCACTGCTGATGATATTCTTAGGGTAAGGTCTTATCTTAGCACAAATCTGTTTGGATTGTTTAAAGGTTAGGGAAAAGATTGTGCTGCCAAGAACGACTGCTCCTGCTTGTAAGTTTAGCAGGAGCCTGGTGTTAGCACAGCTGGAAATGAAATTGCTGCAGCTGCTGGTGGCTGAAGTTGGGTCTCTCCCCAGATAACCATTGCTGTCCGGCTGATTTGATCACTGAGGGTCTTCTATGGCTTCCACCCACCCACAAGTGTTTCTTACAAGTGTTTTCAGAATAAAATGTTTTGAGGAAGCATACCTGGGTGGTTCAACATTTTAGCTGGCCATTTCTAGATTTCTTACAAGGGCTGTGGGGAAATCCTGTGCAGAATTAGCTCCTTTGGTTATTAGTGATGACCAGAGCCAGGAAGCTGATGGCTGTGGCTATGTGTGTTCCTGCCCAGTCCCTTGGCATCATTCCATGCATTCTGATTTTAGTATGTCTGGAGATTTCACAGATCTGTTTTTCACTGGATGTGAGTCATGACTTTTGCTTAGGTAAGCAGTTTAAATACCCAAAATGATGTGTCATTTTGTCTAGTTCCTAATTCTACATCTTACATGTATGTCAAAACTTTTTTTTATTCTTTGCCTGCTGCAGCCTGTTGAGACTAGTCAGCACAATTTGAACTTGAGGCACAATTCTGCTGCTGATTCACACACACACACGCAAACATTGTGAACACCATGTATACAGAAATGGTTTTGTATGTACCTTTTCACTAGATATGAAATTCTAGATATGTATATCCAGGTGGTTCCCTTAATTACTTTGGTTTATTTTGTGATGCTGGGCAGCTGGCCTCATTCATGAGTTACCAAACTGACCTCCTATAAAATGTTAATGTAACTCTAATGTAGTTGATGAAAATACTTAGCAGAGTTTGAATTACGTTGTTTTTGGATGTTTGTACGTAGTGCCTGAACCAAGTATCCACCAGCTGATACAAGTGTGTTGATAAACTCTTGCTGCTTTTCTGCAGTACTGTGATAAGAGTTTATTCAGTTACTGTGAGTTTCACTTGAAGTACCAAAATATTTTCCAAAGTAGCAGAGTGATTTCAGCTGTGCTTTACAGGTATAGAAAAAGAAAGCTATAACACTGTACTTTGAAAGTCATAGGCTAAGGGCAATGGGATTCCCTGCATTTAGACCTTGCTATAATTAATTGTTCTGGCATTGATGGTACTGGTATTTTTAAGTTACTTGGTATAAACTTGAACTGTATTTGTTTGCAGCTATTATTTGGGACCTAATGTGGTCATAGAAGCCTAGAATGGTTTGGGTTGGAAGGAGCCATAAATATCCTCTAGTTCCAACCCTCTGCTAGGGGGCAGGAACACCTTGCACTGGACTAGCGTGTTCAAAGCCCATCCAACATTTCCCGGGATAGGGCATCCACAGCTTCTCTGGGAAGCCTGTTTCAGTGCCTCACCACTTTCACAGTAAAGAATTTCTTCTTAAAATCTAAATCTACTCTTTTTTCAGTTTAAAACCATTTCCCTCTGTCCTGTTACTACAGGCCCTTGTAGGATGTCCTTCTCCAGCTCTACTGTAGTCCCCATTAGGTACTGGAAAGTGTTACAATGTCTCCCCAAAGCCATCTCCTCCCCAGGCAGAACAAATCCAGTTTTCTCTGCCTGTTTTCTTAGGAGAGGTGGTCCAGCAATCTGAGCAGCTTTGTAGCCTCATCTGGTCTTGCTCCAGGAGGTCCTCATCGTTCTTACACCTTCATTCCAGAGGGCAAATACTCACCCTTCCTAAAATTCGTGATGCTCTAGAATATATTACCTTGTGCCGAAAAATGCACCCCAAAATTGTAAGTAGAAGTCACTTGTAATGCTCACTTCATTGACAGTAAAGAAATTTTTAAAATTCTGATCTTTTTAAAATTCAGTTTGAACAGGTGTTCAGAATCACACATTTCTCTTCCAGTTCTACTGTTCCCTGCATTATTTGTCATCTTTTAACTGAGATAAGCCTTTTGGAAGTATTCTGTTATATAGGTTTAGGCAGGAAGGCTTTGTTGGAAATGAAGACAGGTGTCATAAAACATAATTGTATGTAGCAGTAATTCGGTTTTGCTGTTAACAAGATGTTAATATTGCAAATGGAATATAGTAGGAACACAAGCAGAGATGCAGTGTTTCATCAGCTTCAGGTTCTCCTGTGCTGAAGTGCAGGAAGAGCCCTTTCTCTATCATTTTATTTACCCAAGGGCTGTAGTGGGCAAAGATGATCCTGGATCATTGATTCTGGGAGGAGATAGGCAGTTGAACAGTAACACTTTCTATTCTGCACAAAAAGCTGATGAAGCACCTGTGGCAAAGACGGAAAATTGTAGAACTGGATTAAAGTAGGGTGTGAAACTCAACAAATGGCCAGTTTTGACAATGAGTTTCCTTGGGCAGCTATCTATGTGGGGAAGAATGGAATAATAATTATCAGTTAAGTTCAAAGTTGATATTTATACAGCAAGTTGACAGGGTAACTATTCAAATATTTAACATTTGTTTGTTTTTGTTACAGGAATTACAAAGCTCAGGAAGAGGACGCTTTGTACTAGAACACGGTGCTCCATTCTCTGCTTTTTTGGTGGACAGCTTTGGGCGGCAGCACAATTACTTGCGAATTTCATTGACTGAGAAATGCAACCTCAGGTGTAAGTGTCTGCTGTTTCCTTGCACAAAACTCCTCTGCAAATATCGTGCAAAGGCCAAGGTTTGGGTTATGGTATTATTGCTGTGTTTGCCCTGTGCTGTTCCTTGTCTTCACAAAGTAACGATAAAGGACAGATAGAGACTAATTGGTGCTGAGCTATGAGTGAGATAGGAAGCCTGGAGCAAGGCTAGGGATCTGCCACAGACAGGTGGAAGTGGCTGTCCTGACAGTGACATCTTTTATCAGACTTGATGTGGTTTAGATAATGCTGCTTGTGTGCCCAAAGTCTCCATAAGCAGGAGAGCTCATGCCTAGGCATTCCCACAATTACACCTGCAAAGTCTGTGGTGACGTCCCAGTGCCTGCTGGTTGAACTTGGTGTCTCTGTTTGAATGCAGGTTAGATAGAAATAAGGTAATCTTTTTCTGATCCATTGTAATTTTGAGGCACATCAAATTAGTCTTGGGTTTTCCTCTGAAGTAAATCAGGAAATTGTTAGAAGATTGTAAAATTCTCGCACAGTTGGTGTTATTTGACATCCATTAAAGGCAGCTGCCCTTGGTGCATTTTGCCCATCAATATTAGATTAATTGTGGTGGGTTATTTTTTGCCTCATGTATTTCTGTAATCTTTGTTTCAGGTCAGTACTGTATGCCTGAGGAAGGTGTTCAGCTGACTCCAAAATCAGAGCTACTAACTGCCCAGGAGATAATCACCTTAGCCAGACTGTTTGTGAAAGAAGGTGTGGAGAAGATCCGACTGACAGGTGGAGAGCCACTTATCCGTCCGGATGTGGTGGATATTGTGGGTGAGTTCCAAATCAGTGCAGAATGTTTCAGAGTGACTTGGTACATGTCGATCCAAGAATTGCTCTTAAATTAATCTGCTGACACAGTCTGGCAGCCAGAAGAATAATTACACTTTTAACTGTGGTGTTTTTTTCCCAACATTGTGAAATGCAAGGTACGTTTCAGAAAATGTCCAGTCCTGCTCTGTTGCTTGGATGGAACTTACGTCTTTGTATTATACCAGCTGAATTTAGCATTGTTTTTATATTCAACATCTACTACAGTAACTTGAAATAATGCAGCCTGAGGGTGAAAAATCAATAACTTATATGATCAGGTCCTCAGTGCGGAGGAGCAAGTGATATGTTACAAACAAAACAAGCTTTCTCTTGATTTTTTAGAAGTGTGGATTTTTGGTGGTTTTGTTTTGCTTACCTTGATAGCAGATGTCGCTTGCTTGTGTTTAATAAGGAATGGTGGAAAACTCTGTTTTTACAGTTATTGCTGAAGACTGTTACTTCAATGGAAGGTAAATTACTGGGTAAATTTTAGAAGTCTGTATGCTTTGATTGGTATTGTGTTAAATGACACTGCCTGGATCTTTTTTCTTGAGTCAGATGCTTTTTTACTCTGTCCAAAGTCTCATATGTTTAGAAAATTGCAGTAGATTTGCGTAGTGGTGATATATTAGATTAAGGCTGTGTAGGTGGGTGCACTTTGGTATACTGTAGACAACTGAACTTGTCTATTTTTGGACATACACTCTTCTAAGTACTGAAGATAAGAAAACATTTATGTGGAAGGAGGTGGTCGTGAAAGAAAAGAAATTGCCTACCAAAGCAGTGAGCTTTTGTGTAAAAAAACAGTTGGTCTATGCCTCTGCTCTATTTTGTTCAGGATTTTTCCAAAGATGACTTTCCAAAGGAAGCAGCAGAACTGTTGTAGTTTGTAGAACTGACCTGTTCCTAACTGGAAAAGGTGTGACTGGAGTGAGCTGGGGTGTGTCTTCTTGAACTTTTGATTGTGAGGAGTTCTAAAATTGCACTAACTTTTTGGAACTGAGATATCATTGTCTAGAATATTTTACCCATGCATGATGGGTTTGGCCTGGTTTTAGTACTTAGGAAGCTATATGTCTTTCAAGAGACATGTTTCTTTCAAGATAATAGTTTATTTCCAATGATAATAGGTGTAATTATTGGCTCCTCTAAAAGGAAACTAGAAATTTTATAAATTAGGTTGCAATTTAAAATAGAATAAAGCTTTGCAGTTCAGCACAAAATATTGGAATGAAAACGAGTTGAAATCAACCATGTCATCAGTTCAGTGCAGAACTTTCTTTCCTAGTGTATTGTAGGCGAATTTTATGTATCAGTGGTAGCTGATGACTTACCACAGCTCTTTGATGTTGATAGTCTTAAGTGGAGTAGTCATGTCGCTGCAAAATCATTATTACATTGCTGCAATCCAGAAGTATTGGTACTGGAAGTATAGATATCTTTTTGTTTTGCTTTACTCCAATAATATAATTCTCAAAGGTTTATTTTTGTGCCTGAAGGAAAGGAATAGATCTTTTTGAACCACTGGGTTTTCATTACTCTGCCCATGTTCCTGTTCACAGCTGAACTCTGACAGATTCATAGTGATTATTTAAGTGGATAATAGTAGTCTTGAGGTGAAGGTAAGGGATGTTAAGATGTTTGTCCTGTTGTATTAGTTCATTCTGTTGTGGATTTGTATTAGTCTGGCTGGGGTTTTTTTAAGGCCTGTTGAAAATTGTTGAATTAAGTCTACAAATGCTTCCTGTTTTCTCAGACTTTGGTGTTACTCTATGATGCCCCAGTCTGGGATCAAGATAAGACTCAAAACTAAATAGATCAGTGTAACAACTATAGGAAAATTCATTGAAGGAAAATCAAGCCCAAAAATGTCTTCTGCACAATTTGAGTAAAGCGTCCTTATAGAAGCCATCTTAGCACAATGACTGGTTTATTCTGAGATGGAGTTAGTCTGGTTTTCTGGATAGTTTTGGAGAAGCTGGTACAATATCTCTGAATTGGGTTGAGGTTGAAGTTAGGTTTACTTTCAGCAAGCCTTTCTCCAAGCTATAAATGATCTGTGAAATACCAGTAAAGCTCAAAAATGTTAATGCTGGACTTCTGGTACCAGTTTTTTTTAATACACAAATTCAAGTTTTTTAGTTGTTTCAATGAACAGATGAAATTTGAAGCTACTGTAGGAGACCATGCTATTCAGAGACCTGCTACAGTTCTTTAGATTATTTAAAATCTTTTAACAGATGCACATACATAAACTATGAGTCAGCACTTGCTGAAAGCTAAGCCGTGTCCTGGGGATTGCTGAAAACATATGTTTGAGAGTTTTCTGAAGCAACTGATAGTGGGATATAGAATCCATCTCCTTTGAGATACTCAAAGTTTAAATAAGCACCGGATATAAACTCTGTGATAGCTGTTTATTATTAGTAGTGTGAGGAGTACACATCTGCACTGACAAAATCATTTTCCATGGGGTGGAGGATGGAATATTGGATGACTTTTTATAGGAACTTTTTATACCCATTTTAAGAGTGAAGTGGTGTAGAATAGACGTGTTAGTTCATGTGTTAGGAAGTATACACACTTTTTCTGGAGTTAATCGGGAGAAGTGCAGTTAAGGAAATTACTGGAGGACAATATGTAAGAAAATTGTCTATTTAAGAAGATGCTCCTGATCCTAAAGGAAAATGTAAATATAAAATTGTTTACTTCGTGGCACAAGCTTGACATACAAGTTTTAGCTCCATGCTATGGACTTACAGCATCTGTTCTGTTTCCTTTTCTACTTGTTAGTTTTTGTCAGTTGCCTTTGCTTGTGCTGATTGGTGCTAAAGCAGTGACCAAGGGTCACCAACAGGTTTAATACAGGTAAGAGAAGAGTTAAAAAGTTATGAAGTCTCTTTAATCCCTTTTAATTTTAGGGGTCAACAAGCCAAGAAACCAAGACACTGTGAAGATCACACCTGGTAGAGTATTCTGACTGGTCCTTTTTAACTTGCTGGTGTTAGTGTTAAGCCTCAATCTCTAACTTTTCACAGTTGTCTGCTGTGCAATTTGTTACTAGAGGTGATTCCATGCATTACTGTATTTCATCCTGTACAGTGCCTCATCCTGTATCTTGCCCTGTCTGATGAGGAAGAAGGTTTATGGACATCAGCTGCTGCCTCTGCTGACCTGATCAACTGGTGCTACTTTTTAAGATTTTTTTCCATTTTGGGATGCAGAATGATTAGTTTTATTCAGTATCTTTACACATTTTGCATTTCTAGCAATGAAATCTGTATGGCCCCTAGACTTTTTTCCCCAGTTATTCTGAAGTTGAGCATTTTGTGCATTCTAAAGCTATAAATAAAATAAATTATTTAAAATAAATAAGTGATGTTCGCAAACTATCTTCTGGCTGCAGCATGTATCCTTTACTTTCACAAAGATTAGGCTGCTAGTGATAGCTAGTGTTAAATAATCTTTGTCAAAATTGAGCCAGTAGTGCTTATCCTCTAGAAAAGGTTATTCTTGGTCATTTTGGGAGGACTTTTGAGAGCTGAAGGCCAGGAAGAAAATCTCTCTTAGTAAAAATTGCTCTTTCCCTACAACCTCGTGTCTTTATGGAGCTCTTGTTCATGTTCCAAAATGCTGCTGTAAACTTCAGCATCTTTTCTGTGACCTAGCTTGACCCATTCAAGACTCAGCTTAGGGTGAATATTTCGAAAAGAGCTAGGAAATGAGATAAAGCAGAAATAAAGCCCTTATCAACATGAACAAACAAAGGTAAGATAGAGAGGGAAGAAGGAACTATGAAATGTTTGTGCTGTAATTACAGCTGCCTCAAGAGTAAGGGTTCTTCAAATATTTCTGAAATAATTAGGGTGGAGACTATGAGGCAGGGAGGAAAAACCAAAGTAAATTACTTTGCTGTGGCTCTGCTTCTGTGAGTTGTTTATTCTGAGGGTTTTTTCTTATTTGTTATTGTACTGATAACTGGAGATTTGAAAGCTTGGTCTCTGGAGATCTGGTATGCTGAGGATTTCTGCATTTGGCTTATGAGCAGGCAGCTCTTTTCTAAAACTTAATCTCATGATATTAACTTTCTTATGCTATTTTCTTTCACTAGCTATTTTGTAGTGTCTTGCGTAAGCACTCTACAGTCGGCCAGGCTACCACTGGTAATGGAAATATTTCAGTTGTCAAGTGCACATGTTTTGTCCCTTTGGATGTTGTTGTCTTGGATTCTCTGTAATACTCTAGTATGTTGACCTTTTTCTGTTTAGTTAGGACTGTGTATTTCTTTCATAAGTTAAAAGTTCTACTGCTGGCAGCTACCTCTGAGTTAGACTGGTTTTCGGTAAAGCATTGTAGGATAAATGTTGCTAAATAAACAGTTAGGTTAGGTGTCAGCTGTGAAGGGGATGGCTTGCTGCTTATTATTATTGCAGAACAAAAAAAATCGTTTTGCAAAGGTGGATGAAGAAAAGAAATGCACAAAATCAGGGGCTGTCTTTCAACAATAAAGTAGATATTTAAGAAATGAAAAACAAAGCTAGTGTACATTTTAATAAAACAAAATTTTACCACCAGTTTTGCTTGCAATAAACTGCTCTCTCATACCTTTTGAAATGGATTTGTGCTAAAATTGGTCTCTTAAAGCAATACAGAAGAAGGCTGGAAGAAGACTGAAGTGTCCACATTTTCTTCACACCTTCAGTGATATTTTCTTCTTTGTTTCACAAATCTTTTGGGTTTTCTGTGTAACTTACACATTAACTACTTCTTTAAAGTGTTTTTTTTTTTTTTTTTTAATTTTTATTTCCTAGGTCAACTGGACAAGCTAGAAGGGCTGAAAACCATTGCTGTCACAACCAATGGGATCAACTTAACCAGACTGCTGCCCCGGCTGAAGGAGGCAGGACTGAATGCCATTAACATTAGCCTGGACACTTTGGTGCCAGCTAAATTTGAGTTCATTGTCCGACGGAAAGGTACAAACTTGTCTTCTAAGGCAACTGTGTTAATAGTTGCAGGAATGTCGTGAGTTACTTACTGTATCTTTCACAGTCAGTTACTTTGGGAGGGAAGTGAATTGCTGTGCCTCTGAGGCTAGGAAATGTAGTCTATATTAGATTATTCAATGACTCTTTTTCCTTCTTTCTGTAATGCTCAGCAGGTAGATCCATACCTGCCCTACCTGCTCCTTCGTTGGAGCTGGTGAAATAGATGATCAACTCACCACAGTTAGTCATGTGGTTAATGGTACCATCTACAATTGGTTAGTCATAGCTCTCAAGAGGACTCTCCAAATCTTGTGTTGGTCTTGTGTGCTGCTCTTCTTTAATACCGTTCAAAAAAACCCAGATGTTTCTGCTATACCCTCGGGAGACAAAGATGCTACAAGAACTGAACTTCTTGTCATGAAGTTTCTGGAAGTTATATTTGGGGTGTGCTAGCAGTGGTCTCACTTGTGGTTAGTGATGTTCCGTATCCACTACTTTTTAATAGGAATAAACATTCCTATTAAACCATTCCTGAGGTAATTTGAGGAGGGCTGTTGGCTTTGTAACTTCTCTCCTACTGAGCAAGTAATTGCAAGTAAAATTTAAAAAATGCCCAGTGTTACAGATTCTAGTTTAAATTAATCCTAAAGTTGATCATGGAGCTCAGTTTCGTGAAGGTTGGGCTTCCTTCCAAAGTAAAACTGATTTGATGTTGTATCATTCTCTTCCTGTCCAGCAATGTAACTTCAGCAGTCTGTGAACTTCTAATTCTGACAAAACCTCTAAGTAGCCACCAGGTGGTGCAACAGCCTCAGATAGATGTAGGGAAAGGATTGTAGAAGTCTGGAACGCGGTGAGAAGTCATGTCAGCATTGGAATCACTGCTAGCAAACTGGAGTTCTGCTGGCAGGTGCAGAAAGGTGTCCTTGTCAACTGTCTCTGTGGGAGCACTACTTCAGGTTTCTGTGTCATGGTGCAGAAATCAGTTCCTGTCATGAAGCTAACTGGAGCATTTTCCTTCCAGTGTAGGCTAGTGCATTGATCTGGTTGTGTCATGGCACAGTTGGCTCCCAGAGTGGCATCTGGGAGTATCTAATCACAAACAGATGTTGACTGTGCCCTTTCCTTCTGCTCTCTGTGTTTGAGTATTACCTGGTTTGTGACATTCATTAGCAACAAGACCTTATTTTGCCACTGAAGGGGCCGACCTCCAGCTTCCTGAATTATAAAGCCAGAGATCTTCATATCTTACTAGAAGCAGTTAGGAATGCGCTGCTTATAAAGTAAACTAAAAGTTATTAGAGAATGAGAGTAATTTTTATTTATGTAAACATTCTCTTCCACCTTTAAAGAAAAAAGATATTTTACCAACAAAGAGATAAACTGCTCGACTGAATAGCACAGACAATGAACAGGGAAATTTCTATTACTGAGTATTTTTTAAGAGGAGAAAAAGTCTCCAAACAGAGATATTTTTTCTAAGCAGAGATCAGGTAAAAATAGTAACATTGAGTTCTATTGCTTTGGGGTTTTTTTTCTTTTGTTAAGGTTAAAGGCTGAAATTATGCTTTTTTTGCCTTTTTTTTTTTTTTTGAGGGTTTTTATTTAATAGGAGATTTCCAAGTATGGAATGAGCAGAAAATAGAGTGCCTGCCCTACTGAGCTACCCTGTCTTCTGTGGCAGTTCCAGAGGCAACAAGATGTAGCTCTGTTAAGGTGAGAGGAATTCCAGGTCTTGGACTTCTACAGGCTGATAACTTCTCTGAAAAGTCAAGGTGGCATATGATTATGGAGCTTACCAGGAACTTGAGAAACTTGGAATAATTTCTCTGTTTAGCTGAAAAGTCAATGTAGGGTTTTAAGAAGATGCAGAAGATGTGTATCTTTGGTGCAGGTGCCCTGCAGCACATCTGCTCCTACTTGCAGATGTTTGGGTTAGACAAAATGACTGTGAGCTCATCAGAGATTTCACTAATGGGTGAAAGCAGTTTACCATAATATTTCTACTTTTTCCAATATACCACATTCTAAGGGATGAACAAATAAAAATACTTTCATGCAGTTTGCCAGTCTAACCTGTTTCATGTCCTGTCCCTTTTTTTGTGTGTGTGTTTCATACAAGGGAAATGAGATGATGATGTGCTGTAGTTGTATCATTAAGTGTAGGCCTGAAGCCTTTTTTCCTGTAAGGATTAAATGCTGAAAGGTTTTGTTCCATATAGGATTTTTCTGGATGGCTCTAAGGTTCTTGTACTATGAAGCTGGCTAAAGCTGTGAGTTCAGAAGAAATCAAATATTTTGAAAGTATTTAAATTTTTCATTGGGTGAAAGAGGAGAAGTGGTTGTTTCCTGGCCTTTTTAGTTATACTGAGTTTCTCCTTTCTGTAATCCTGTGGTCACATATTACATTTTCTGAGCAGTAGCAGAGATTTTTGATGCGATTCATGGATCTGGGTTGTGATTACACCAGTGTATCATTATGTCTGTTGCCACAATCTGCCTGTAATCTTGCTTAATTGGAATGAGATCTGCCACAAGTGCTGGAAGCTTCCTGGGCACTTGCACAAGTAGGTGGTGATTGAGAAGGCTTACAGACCATAACTTCGAACAGTTGTTGCAAGAGTTATTTCACTGTGTGAAATAACTTTGCTCTTCACCACTCTTTGCAGACAGGATTAGCATTAGAACTGGCTTATTAAATAATTGTATCTTCTGCTTTCCCATGTCCATGCTTTATGATGCCTTTACTAGCCAGAGAGCAGTGAAGTGAAATTTTTGTATTTCTAGTTTTCTTTTTTCTGATTTTGAACGCATTTCATATTAAGTATGCACAGAATACTACTGAGTTATTTTTTTTTTCTGCTAAAGCACCTACAGAGTAATGAAGGTATGATCTGTTGACTAGAGAATCTGAGTTTCCAGTAGATCAGAGATAAGGAAAGGACGGTGATAGATCTGTGCAGAAAAACATATGATTAGGAGCAGCATGGGGATTGTCATCAAAACTTCTGAGACATACTGCCCTTTTATTAGCATGTGTGAAGTATTTGCTGTTGGAGACTGCAGCTTTGGAAGAAGGAAAATGCTGCCTCTGATCCTCTGACTAATGGATAGTCAGTAGCTTCAGGAAGCCAATTATATCTATAGCCAGGGTTGAACAGGGAATCAAGCGGCTTTTTGTTGTTCCTAAACCCATTCCACCCCAAATGTACTTTAGAAAAATCCTTTTAAAATTCGCTTAGCAACATTGCTGTCTTGATTCAGAACAGAGAAATTCTGTCATTATAGAAAGACACAAGCCATTACTATAAAATAAACATTAATTTATTATTCTTTCTTCATTGCATCTGGAGGAAGCTCATAAATTCTTTCCACTCTCTTTAAGAAGAATGTAACACAAGGCAAGCTGACTTACATGGAAGTGCAGAATCATATGCTAATAATACATGGATATCCAAAGATATAAAAAACCATACCAATATTGTTGATTACTCAAATACCAGTTAAATATTGATCTTGATGACTTGAGCACAGTAACTTGATAGTCTTTGGGGGTTGTGAGGGGGTTATAATTAAAGTCTCTTTATTTGCAGCTCTTCTTACTTGCAGCCTCGTGTACTGAATCAGATTGGTTTTTATTTGTCATCTCTTTGTCTTGTACTAAGTAACCACCTTTTGCATTCTGCTTTGCAACAATAAAATTCTTTTTTCACTCTTTTTGTATCTTAGGCTTTCACAAGGTAATGGAAGGAATCCACAAGGCCACTGAACTTGGCTACCGTCCTGTTAAGGTAAAGCCAGTTTTTATTTACTCTGAAACTATTGTGTTTTACCATACATACAGATCACCTGATAAGGAATTTATTATATTCCGTCTCACCTCCCACCCCACCCTGTGAAAATTTTTTAGTAAAACTGGAGAAAAACTTGAAGAGCACATAAATAACGAGGAGAATTCATAGAATCTCCTTGTGCAGCTAGGGATGCAGGTCACGCTCTTTTCAGTTCCAGGTGTCTTGCTTTACCTGCAGGTGAACTGTGTGGTGATGCGAGGTTTCAACGAGGATGAAGTGCTGGACTTTGTGGATTTCACAAAGGATCTGCCCCTTGACGTGCGGTTCATAGAATACATGCCCTTTGATGGTAAGTACTGCTGCTTTGAGATTCTTCTTGCACAGAAGTGAGCTGGTTGGTGGATATTCACCCCGTAGACTTGTCTCCAGAGGTTTTGGTAAGCTCTTTCAGGGAATTAGGAATTGCCTGAAGTTTTTTGCAGCTTATATTACGCCTTCCATAAGCTGTAGAAGGACTAGTTGGGGCTGGGACACCTACAGCTAAAGTGTCACAGAGAATGTCAAGGTGGTTCTCTGCTAATTAAGAACGTAAAATCCACGGTCTAAGATTATGCTGGTTTTGTTAATTCTAGGCAATAAATGGAACTTCAAGAAGATGGTGAGCTACAAGGAAATGCTTGATACAATTAAACAGCGATGGCCGGAATTGGAGAAATTACCCTGTGAGACTTCCAGCACAGCCAAGGTGGGGTTGGACAGAGAACGTGTGAAATGTGCCCCTGTTGCTTCCCTGCCTCAAATCCCCAAATTGTCCCAAGTTCAGCATTGATATCTGACAACCAAAGTAATAAATAGTCAATGTGGTAATTCTTGGGTTTTGGTCAAGCTGCCTGTATAAGACTTGATGCTCATAAAGTCCTAGTCATAGTCTGTACCTTTATAAATACAATGTATTTTCTAGATGTATTTTCAGTCAGAACAACTCTTCCATCAGGCCTGTATCCTGTATTTACAGCTTTTTAAACTGTTTTAAACTTTTTAAGCTTTTTTGTCAGTCTATGTCTGCACATTAACAATCCTGATGGAAGAGTTGTTCAGTGAAAAAACAATTGCTTTAGAGTGTACAGTGCCAAATGGGGAATTTCTAGCTCGTGCTCCCTACAGGCATCACCTATTAATCGGTAACTACAAGAGCAAGCATTTAACAAGGTTGAGAATTTCTAAAAACAGAGCAGAATAGACTGGAATAGCTGAAAAAACTGATTTTGCTTTTACTTTTTCTTTGATATGATCTTAGGGCTGAAGAAAATCTATGTTAAAATAGATTTTCTGATCTTTAGGCAAGTGGAGCTATAAAAGCTTGGAGTCTGTATTTGACTCTTTTTTCCTTCTCTGCATTTCTTTAGAGTTACAAGGTGCCACATTTCCAGGGACAAATCAGCTTTATCACCTCCATGTCAGAGCACTTCTGTGGATCTTGCAATCGGCTGAGGATAACAGCAGATGGGAATCTGAAGGTTGGTAGTGAAACAGGATTCTCTTTGATTTCATGTAGTGAAAATAGTGTTGAAATTCATGCCCTAAAAGTATCTGGGATGTAAAGACACATAATTATTACCAGCTAGCTCCTGTTTATTTATCCTCTATGTATTCTTGTTCCATCTTGTCAGGCTGTTAGGGAGGTGTTACATCATGAAACCTTTTTTTTCAGTTTCTGTTTTGCTACCATAGTTAACTACAGTTGTAAAATATGGTTGCAAGGTCAGTAAATATAAACATTTATTCTAATCTTTGATTCAAAATCATCTTAAACATGTGACAAGCAGATGATTTCCCATTAAAAAAGGGTCCAAGCAGCTGTGAGGGCTTAGTTTTTGCATTCCACAGGGATCCTGTCTTGTTTCCCAAACAACTTGTAACTCTTCTCCTTCAAGAGCAGCCTGTACATTTGCTCAATGACTGTAGAACAAGGAGGGATAACCATTTCCTGCCACGTTGAAACTGGCAGTTTCTGGGGAAAAATTAAAGTTTTCAATTAAAAATTGGCACTTACGCATTGTCACCTGATACTGACAACAGCTGTGCTGCTGCCTAACATGAGATGACCTAGGCAGCCTGAAGGCCCAATGAGTTTAGGCTGCATAAACATCCCAGGCTGTGTCTAAGTGCACATGAGGAGAGATAAAGCAAACAATCTCCATAAATGTTCCCCTCAATAGGGTAGGCCTCTTCAAAGCTCTTCACTCTGAGGTTAGTACAAAATACTTGTAAAAGTAATTTATTTTATTCTTTTTCATTTCTCCTCCTCTGCTTCCCTGGATTGGCTGCAGGTGTGCCTTTTTGGGAATTCAGAAGTGTCCTTGAGGGATCACCTACGGTCGGGTGCCTCAGAGGAGGAGTTGATTCAAATCATTGGAGCAGCAGTGGGCAGAAAAAAGAAACAGCATGCTGGTAGGTTTGCTGTACTTCAGAAATAACAGCAGTGATAGGGAAAACAATGTCCTGGTACTTGTAACTTTCATGACAGTTAGAAGTCTGAAAGACTTTCGGACTTACTTTAGTTCTCAAATAGATGCAAATACCACTGCTCACAAGGACAGCAGCAAAGTGTAAAGCTAAGTAGTTGTACTGGATTTTTTTTTTAACTAGTTTGCTGTAAAAGAAGAACTAAAGTGAGCTGTTGATACTGCATTAACATGTTTCTAGGAGTGACAAGTCTCTTTTTCACCATGCAGGATTTTGTGGGTGCTCATCTAGTGCTCTGCATAAGGTCATGACACAAGGTCCATGATGATTCAAGGACCATTCTCAGGCTGTATTTGTCTTTTCTGAATTTATATTGATATAAACATTCACATCTGAACCTAACTGAATTTTTGTAATCTGGCTCCAGCTGGAGGTGCTGACCTCTTGTACATGAACTGGCTTTATAATCATAGATAAGTTTCCTACACACTCAAAATATGCTTTCGCCCTTTTGTTTTCTTGCAGATTCTGACAGATTAATAACAGTAGGTTTTTCCTTTTTTTTCCCCAATATGTGAAACAAATTTAAACGTAGTTTTTAAATCTAAGCATAGACTAACTTGCAAAGGACATTGGTCTGACCCAGATAAAACAGTGCCTTATAAACCTAAGGGAAGGCGTGAAGGGATTGATTATTTTATTTGTAGACCCTTTATTTATGAATTCTGGTTTGAGAAAGCAGGGGGCGGATGGGGAAGAATTTACTAAAGTCATCTTGCCATCAGCAGCATTTACCTGACATTGTCTGTCTTCTCACAGTTTGTGTTAATCTCATTATTGTCCCTGGGGCTTTCTGTGATTGAACTTCTTTGAACTGGAACACTTATTAACAGCTTATCTGTAGAACTAGAACAGTCCAATACCATTGTTAGAGACAAGATAATCTCAAATAAATTGAATTCTGTAGTAGATAGACTGTAATTCACATTATGGTGAGCTTTCTGGGTAAGGGTTCTGCAGTGTGATAGACCCATAGCAGCTGGATGCCTGGATACTCAGGCAGCTATAGTTTTAAATAATACCGTGCTGGATTCCCCCTCCTCCAGTTCCCTTGGTCCTTACTGAGCTTTGTTTCTCCTAGTATGCAGGTTGCACTGTAAAAAGCAGAAAACTAAATATGTAAACCAGATTAATGACTTAAAGCCTAAAAAGCTGGGATTTTTATGTGTTCCTTATTTTATTTCTAGGCATGTTTAACATTTCCCGGATGAAAAACCGGCCAATGGTCCTGATTGGTGGGTGACAAATCAGTACGTAAAAAACATAAAATGATTTTGCTTGGTTTCTGTCTTTGGGGGAGCAGAGTAGATTAGGCTTCTAAGTCTAGCTTGTGGTTCTGCCTTAGGTTTAGGCAAAGAAATGAGCTGCTTAATTAGCCAGTTATAGTTAACATGCTGAAGTGGAAAAGGAGGAAAGGGTTAGTATCCTTCCCAAGCCTTACCCGGTTTTCCAATTGGCAGCCCTGGTTTTATTTTCTCTAATTATGACAGTTCATTACATTTTCCAAAGAGATAATCAATTTTCCTACTTATTTCCTATCCGCTTCCTTTGTACTTAAGTAGAATAGTATAGCTACTTACAAGACAGTTTGAGGTGAGTTTTGACCATATTGCCATATAAATATAAAGGATCCAGAATGGAGTTTTATCCATGGATTAAGAAATTCAACTTTGTTTATAACATATATAGAGCCATCAAGCTGATAGAAGTGCAACTGTTCCTACCTCACTACTACTTCAGAATCTGGAATGGGCGCTTCTTTCTTTTGAAATTGCTTTTTATTGGTGCACAGTCTCAGAACATAACCATGAAAGACCTATGAACCAAGAGCCTTTCCTTTCCTTCTAGTGTCTTCTGAATTCTCCCTTCTGCCTGAAGCTCTGTTCTTGAGTGATGTAGCAGTGCTGTGGTTCTCCTACTAATTTTTAACATCATCTTCAGTCCGATTTTACCTCCTCCATGCCTATGTTTACCTATTCTGTAATAAGAAATCGTTAGAAGAGTTAGCTTTGTGAGATCACTTGCAAGATGTTGTGTTGTTCCTTAACAAGTTGTAGGAAAAAAAAAAACAAAACCAAGGGTGAAAGACACGATCATTATGTTCCAAATCCAAACTCTCATCCTCCCATTGATGTTTTGGAGGAGGTTAGCTTCTGGGCAGCTAAAAACAGGTTTTAAAAGTGGTACCCTTGGGGAGGGAAACATGCATTAATTTGCAGGTCTTTGCAGCAGGTGATACAATAACAATGACTTTATTTTTAAAACAAGCTCCTAGGGCTTGCACTTTTGTTGCCTATATTAGGAAATAGGGTCCACAGAGGTCTTTAACGTAGGTCTTCACTGGGAATGCTTTTCACTTGGTGCCTCACTTTAAAGGGCCATCATTTGCCATATTGACTGATGCAACATTATACATTTGCTTGTTTTGTATTTGGCCACTGCTGCATTGTGTTCCAGAAAAAGGGTAAGAAGTACCTTTTGTTTAAAGTATTGACTTGCTGCATGAGGAAAAAATTTCGTTCGTTTTTCCTTTTTTTTTTAAGATGAAAAATGCTATATTAAACTCTTGACAGCTCACTGGGACTTACATAATTTTTCAAGTTGCTTTTGAAAGAATTCCCACACTGCAAAGTTAGCATTCATAGCAATGTTTGGATGTCTACAGATCAGATCACTCCAACTTCCTTTTGAAAAGTGCTTTAACATGGTCTTACATGCAGTGAAAGACAGAGCCTGTCCAGGTCCTGCTCCTTTAGCTGTTCCATCTCCCTTTGAGACTGACTGCTGGCAGTCACTGCATCAGTGGAGGGACTGGAGATGAGTGGAGAGTACCCCACTGTGACACATGGGGAATCATTAGGAGATTTCCTAATTGTGTTTTGAATTAGTTACAGACTTCAAATAATGCTGGCGTGCAAGCAGTCAGTGGGGGAGTGTGTGTATGGAATTAATTTAATGAAATTTAATGAATGCTGTGGAAATCACTAATTGGTTTTGCTAGACCCAGTAAGCCAAACCTAGTGTCTTCCCTGCACTGCTGTTGTCCAATCATTTGCTATATGGTTTGTATCTTATTGCCCTTAATCAAAATATTCCTTTCAGCAGGTTCTTCTTCTCCTAGGTTTACTTCAGTTATGGGAATTTCCTCATTAATTTAAATATCTCCTGTCTTCTTTTCTCCCCCTGAGATTGTGCTAGTTGGAAGCTGAGACAATTAAACTTGAGGTGCAGTAATAGGATATAAGGAGATGAAATTTGTCAGATGGTTTCAATGTATGGTGCAGTAGAAAACCATTATCTGTTGGGTTTTTTTTTTCTGTATAGGTATATGAGCAAGTTGGGTGCAGATGGAAATGACTAGGTACAACTTCAAGAAGTGTAGGTTGTTCAGAAAAGCAAAGATGCTTTGCACTCATTACTGTCTCTTGCTTTCTGTTTACTTCCCACTCTACTTGAGCAAACTTTTCTCCCTGCTCCCACCCATGTGTGTTTACCCTGTGGAAGGAAGTACTTGTCTGCCTTTGCAGTCTGGCTTCTCCTGAAAACAAAACACTTTCTCAAGGGTTTAGCTTCAGCTTTAAAGCTAATCAAGGAATCCAGAAGAACAGAGTGCTTTGGGTTCCTGGATTTTAAAAGGAATATTTAGGTTAGGCCCCACTATGAAAAGAGAGAGCAAGAGAAGAGGAATACAAAAAATAATTTTCTGTGCTCTTCTAAAGCAGAGCAATGTTGTACTCAGTACATTTATGTCTATTTAATCCTATTCCTCTGAGGTAAACACATGCCTTCAAATTTGCAGTAATCTTAATTTTAGTGCATAGGCCATCAGCTGCAGGTGAAAAAGGCCTTTGCCTGAATTTAGGTTACTGCAATGATTATAGTCATGAAATCTATGGTTGATTTAAGCTTCAGGAATGGTACTTTCAGACCAGTGTTTTGAGGGTACTCTGGATGAAAATGGTGCTAAATGCATCAGCCTTGTTTTAGTAGAGGCTGGGACTAACAGGGAAGAGTGTGGTGGGTTTGTTTTTAAAAAGATGGAGGAGCACAATGAGGCCTTTGTCTACACTGTGTCTATTTTTGTCATGTGGACAGGCTCTGGGCAGCAGAAGTAGCTCAGCAAAGTGCAGAGGGGGAGGAAGCTGCTTTGTTGCACCTGTGGATAGGTTGAAAAGGGAGTCTTTGAATACCAGAGCTACCAAAGGAGGTTATTGAGCACTACCTAATTCCACATTTCTCAGAGCAGAGAGAGGAAGAGCTTCAGAAAAAGAGAAACATGCTTACCAATTGTCCTGTTAAACCAGGGCTTAGGCACTTACCTCTATACTGCTTTCTTTACTTACAAAACATTTTATTCATTTGTATATATGTGAAAGAGACTCCTTCTGTCTTCACGCTTGGCATTTAGCCCAGTGCAAACGCCAAAACCAAAGGATTAAATGGTGAAAAGGGGCAGGAGGGCTTACTACCTCTCTGCCAGCTGGGACCTCTGCCAGCTCAACGTGGAACATGCTTCTGAGTAGATTTTAAATCTGTCTGTCAGTGAGGGGACTGTGGTTTTTCCAGTGCTTAAACTTCAGCTGTCATTAACGTGTTAAGAGCTGGCAATAATACGAGAGGTTCCCATCACCCTCTGAGCTTGTAGACAGTGCAGTTGCAGTGCTTCTGGTCCCTGCTGTCCTCAAGTGCTGGCATGACCCTTCCCTGCAGAAGGAGATGAAAAGAGGAAGTGTAGCTGCCTGTGATGGGAGGGAGGTGTTTGGAAAGGCAGAGTTGAGAATCTGAGTGTAAGAATTTCCTATTAACCCTGCCAGGCTTTTGGAAGAAGGCTGGTGCTAGGATAGTCCCAAATGGATGCTGAGATTCTGTGATTCACTTTTCTTCAGAACTGATGCTCCTATAAGCTTTCTTGGCTGCTGTTTCTCAAAAGGTGTTGATACTTTTAGAAAGTAAATTGTTTCTTTTTGTCAGGGACCTTGAAATGGGTGTTCCAAGTCTTGACGTTTGTAATAGCAAACCAGGAAATGCAGGGAACTGATGAGAGAGAAGGAGCTTGAGGAAAAAAGTGGATGTTTTCAGGCTTATTGAGGTTTTTGCAACACAGGAAGCTCCAAGCAGTGCTCTGACAGGGTTCTCAGCTGCTACAGACAGCTTAGCTTTCCAGTTAGTAAGATGTTCTTCTCATGTTACTTTTTGTTTTTTCCCCAGAGCCTGCATTGATGTCATTCCCACTATGCCAAGATGCCCTACAGAATCCCGCAAATTCAAAACAGTGGGGCCACACATTTAGCCATTGGCTGACTTTGAGAGCAAGTTTACCCAAACAAAAGGGAAAAGCATCAATGAAAAATAAATTCACCGGACAACTTTTCCTGCCAGGATGTCACCCAGAGAAACAGTGGCACATAGCAACAGGAATTCTTCAAACCCAGCTCAGAGGCTACTGTGTCTTCCAGAAGGACCCAAGCTCCACATTTGATACAAAGTGCCTTGATGCTTCTGTTGGCCAAGTTCCTGTGGACTGCCAGTCCAAAGAGGTGTGTTCAGGATCTGAATTCCATACCAGGGATTCAGGATCTTGCACCAAGGTACCTCGTGCCTCTGACAACTTGACTCACACTGATGAGGAAGGACGAGCCACAATGGTTGATGTTGGAGGGAAGCCAGATTCCAGAAGAAGTGCTGTTGCTGGTGCTGTGGTCCTCTTGGGAGAGAAGGCATTCAGGATGGTGAGGCAAAACCAGATGAAGAAAGGGGATGTGCTGGCAGTCGCCCAAATTGCAGGAATTCAGGGAGCCAAGCTGACCAGCCAGTTGATCCCATTGTGTCACAACATCCCTCTGTACCACGTTGAGGTGTCTCTGAGCCTGGATGAGGCCAGGCATGCAGTGGTGATTCGCAGCTCCTGTCACACCTGGGGGAGGACAGGTGTGGAGATGGAGGCTCTCACAGCTGCCAGCCTGGCTGCACTGACCGTGTATGACATGTGCAAAGCAGTCACTCATGACATCGTCATCCAAGAGCTGAAGTTGCTTAGTAAGACAGGTGGGCAGAGGGGAGACTTCTTAAGGGTCTAGATAATATCCAGATACCTCCAGCCCTCCAAGTGACCACTGCTCCTGTTCAGCCTCTTACAGGAGTCCTTTTGCTCAGCTGGTGGGCTTGGAGACCTCAGGAGGTGTGTACAGTGCAGCAGCCCCATGCCTCCAGCATTGCCTTACTCTGTCAGCTCAGTGCTGGGTGAACAATGGAGGCACTTAGCCTGTTGAAAATCATGTGTATTTTCTAGAGCACAGGCTTCTCCACTCTGCCAGTACCTCCATTTCAGTCCTCATGATGAGAATGATAAAAGATTCCTGCTTATACCACAGAGGTTTTTGGTTTATGGTTGCTTTTTCCTTTGTGCTGTGAAATACACTTGCTGTCATCATACCATGCAACTGTGAACTCTGGAAATGAAGCCACTGCTGAAAGTGCTGTTATTTGGCAACTATTTTTAAGTCAACGATTAAGATTTCAGAATTATGTCTGCCCATCTTTTCCCTGACCTTGATTGAATATAGAGGGTGACAGTGGGAAGAACACAGCTGGGGAACTTCACCATACAACAGAGATTATAAGCATGGAACACTTAGTGTCAAGGTGCAGCTCCCATCCCTTTGCAGTGCTACTGTTTCCCTTCACAGAATCCCAGAATGGATGTGTAAGGTTGGAAAGGACAACAGTGGGTCATCTGGTCCAACCTCCCTGCTCAGACACTCAGAGCACATTGCACAGAGCTGTGTCCAGACTGGAATATCTCCTGTCAGGGAGCCTCCATAACTTCTCTCAGTAATTTGTTTCAGTGCTGAGGCACCTGCAGAGTAAAGAAGTTCAGGTGGAACTTCCTGTGCATCAGTTTCTGCTCTTTGCCTCTTGTCCTATTGCTCAGCACCATCCAGAAGAGCCTGGCTCTGGTACTCTTGGCATCTCCCCCTTAGACACTGCTATGCATTGAGACATCAGTAATCTCTTTTGGATGCTCAACAGGCCCAGCTCCCTCAGCCTTTCCTCATAAGAGAGACACCTGCAAGTGGGAAATATCCACATATCAGTTTCAAAAGAAAAAAAGAAAAGATAGCTGCCCAGTTTTCTGCCAGTGCTCTGTAAAACATGATGCAGAAAGAGGATTTCCGGATTCAGAAGAATTATTTTTCTGATCTGACAGATATGTTTTACAATGTTAGAAGCATGTCCCAGAATTTTTACCTTAGCACTGAAATACATGGATGCTCTGTTTGCATGCTTAAGGGATTAATTTTGCCATGCACAGAAGTAAGTATTAAGCTCTCCCTGACTTTAGAAACTAGAGATGTTGCACTAGAAGACTCCAAACTTTTAATGCTATGGTGCAGCTCCTAGTAACCAGCAACCTGCATAGTCCTGACAGATAAAACAGATTTTAACAGTGGTGGCCACTTGGAAAATTAAGGTAGTTAACTGTTGTCTCTGCCAGAGAGTTTTCCTGCATGTTTCTCTAATTTACTTTTCATTAAGTCTTCTGGCCCTGGAGCACTTAAGTGTCCCCATAAATGTAGCAGTGGCCACAGTCACATAGCATTAATTAGCTTTGGTAATTAACTGTCCTAGATAAGAAATTACTCAGCATTCTTGTTGATATTAATGACTGCTTTTCAAATGTTTATTTAAATGCTCTAAACAGGGTGCTACTGGTTGCTTATGGCTCATGTGATGCTGCACATTATTCAGGGTGCTCCCTCCACACACACAGGGTTGAATACAATGCTAGTGAGGTCAAAGACACCACCAAAAATCATCTTAATAGGTTAAAGTACTGTGAGCACACTGCACTGCCATGCACATCCAGCTCATGTAAAGTAAGCACAGGTCTCAACTGAGGAGGCAATAGATTTTGCTACAGATCCTTCACAGATCTCATACACCAGCTACAACAAAAGGCACTCTTTCCATTGCAGGTGAATTGATTTGATTCTTCATTTGTTGTCACTGTGAGATAAGATACATAGAGTTCCACTCTCGCTCACTCCTCCTTCCCTGTGGCAGGCTGGAGAGGAGAACTAGAGGCACAGCAGGTAAAGATCACGGGTTCAGATAAGAACAATTTACTGGAAACATCAATGGAATAAGAAAATGAGCAATAACACCTTCAGTCATAGAGGGAAGAGGCACTACGTGACTGCTCCCTTACTGGAAGAGACCCCTTCCCTCGTCTCCATAATAACCCCCCATGCTGTTAGCCATGCCCCCTCTTGACTCCTGCAAAAATTACCCATGTTCTCTCCAGAAGCAGGACAATCTACCTTCACTGTTACATTCTTGACTCCCTGTCATTCCCAGGAGTGTAGCTAGTACCGTCATACTGACAACAACAATCCCACCCCGTCCTGCAAATAGAAGAGATTGCATTCATCTGTGGAACTGCTGTGCCCATAGCACGAAAGTATCCTTAGCTCAGCATGGAAACAAAGTGCCAGGAAAAGGAAGCACACATGTAGCCTGCTAAGTCAACTGACTGACACAAGCACTTACCTCCCCTCACCACGCACAGCACGCCCTGCCCTCCTGGCCTGCCCCCAGGCTCTAGCTAATTTTGAAAATGAAGAAGAAGCTTGATGTACTCAGTAGTAATAAAACAATGCTTTGGGCATATGATTCTTTGGCTTCTGGGAAGTTTGCTGTCATGCTGTAAAGCTCACACAAAGGACTCGGGGCGGTACCAGGGACTGCTGAGCACACATGTGACCACCACGCACATCTCGCTACTTAACGCACATTTCACTCCTCCCTTGGTTTGAGAGTGGCTGGAAGTGCAAAGCAAACTGACTTTGGTGCCATTTTATGCTCATGTTACATTATCAAGTCTTTAAACTATGCACATTTATAGGTAATGAACCAAACGTGAATCAACATTTGGCGAGAGAAATGGGTTGAGAGCGCTCTGTGTTTCTGTGGTGCTGGGTGGGCCATGGTGTAATATATGTTGATGAACTGACTACTTTTTGGAGGCTTGCTTTTTTTGTCCACTGTATTTTTAATAAATACTAGTTGCAATAGAATATGATTTGCATTACTTTGAATATCCTTTTTATTTATCTTTCTATGTTTTAACCCAAAAGCTTCTATGAATAGTTACCTTGGGACAAGCAACAAGACAGGCTTTGCAAGTTGCATGATGAGTCAGCAATTAGTGGGGGATCAGTCATAATAACTTATTACTATAACGAATTATTTTTTTGCTGTTGTTGAGTGAAACTCATTTTAATCTGGCTGTTCTTAAACTGTGTAATCCTGTGGGTTCAACATCATATTTATCATCTCTTGTCATTATCCCAACTTCTCCCACATGCCTATTCTGAGCCAGTGGCTGTATATAACATCTCTGCTTTTTGTTGCCGAACTGGGGCCTCCAGAGCTCTTCCTCCTAATCTGAGTGACCACAACTGAAACCAAGGTTCAGAGAAGTGCCTGTATAAAAGTCTATCCCTCCTGTATCACAAGTAAGCTTTAAGAGAAATTCCCCTTCTCATCCATCTGAACTTCCAGGAAAGCTTTCAGGTCTCCTGCTACCAAGAGGCATCAATGATATTAGAGGTCTTTTCCACTCTAAATTATTCTAAAATTCCAAAAGATATCAATCCTAAAATAAGCACATCGTTTTTCTAGGAGCAGAAACAGTAAAGCACTAAGCCCACCACCTGCTTCTATTGAAGGGTGCCATAAGAGTTCAAGCTGCACTTTTGAGCATGTCAAACACAAACACAAATCCTGCAGATCATGGCAACCCTTACAATGCACACACAGTAGCGCTTTTGCCTGCTGGAAATTCAGCTGTCCCAGCTCATGGCCCATTTGTGTGTTAGAGTCTATTCACCCCTAATCCAAGCTGAATCCTTTGGAGTATCTCAGCCTGGCTTTCCTTTATGCCCTGACACTAGTTACTCCACCCTCACACTGTCCTGTTTAAAACTGGATGCAGCATACAGAGGAGAAGCTGGCAGAAACTGGTCATTAAGAATTCTTAAAAGATATTAAAGCAGTGCTTTCAGGAAGTGCTAGGGGAAGGAGAATGGGCTACAGGGGAAAGACAACTTGAAATACCTCAAGGACGGACTTCTTTTTTTCTGAATGGGAACTGCTCAAAACCAGATTCCAAAAGCAACAACAGCTCAGCAGTAAAAAGAGCAATGAATTTTGTTAGCTATTTTCAGCCCCTGGTGACCTGCAGTGATTCCTTGTAAATTCCCTGTTATGCAGCTTTACAGGGGATTTGACTGAACAGAATCTGGCCCTTGATCCTGCCCCTTCCTTGGCGCTTTGCTGGTTCTCGGCTCCCTCTGGCTGCCTCAGCAGAGTCAGGCAGGCTTGGAACAGCTGAGAAATGGCTGGTGCACCGTGTGTGCTTTGGCCACGACAGAGCTGCTAATTAGCTAAACGGAAACACAGTTAGTTCACTTCCCTCTAAGCACCAGAGCCTCTCTCCAAGAGAAGCTCAACATTCCACAGAATCTAAAATCGGTTGGAGGAATTGCTGGTTGCAGTGGGCTGACCAAGTTTTTGTGATGTCAGGTAAAAGCCTCAACTTAGGTCTCAAAATCACTGGATATGAGGAGCTCTACAAAACCATGATGATGGCAGACAACACCCTGACATGCCTAGCATGGTGCCAGAAAGGCACAGGATGAAGAGCTGAATCCTTTGTCACAGGCTGTGCCTGAAGGGCTTTGAGTGAACTCAGTGCACCCTGTCATAAGAGCAGATTCTCACTTTGGACACAAGAAGCTTAAACAGTGGGTGGCTGAGACACAAATCCAGCTGTCTGTACCTTCCCCTGTCCCTTAATGCTGCCAGTGCCATGTTTAGAAATCTTCCAGTTTAGCATCTCTATCTTTGTACTTACCCTGTTTGCTCCTTTGGGGAGTAAAGGATACCCAAAATAGTAGCAGTAAAGTGCAGATGAGTGCAAGTTCACAGGAAGGGATGGGATGGATGCCCTGAGACACTGCTGAGCTTTCCTCCAAGCAGAGAAGCACAACAAACCAGGTATTGCTTAGCTGTGTGTGCACAACCCAACTGCAATTGCATAGCCGTGGCCATCAGGCAAGCTGCCCATGGCTCTCCGAGGTGCCATCCACACAGCACTTGCTCCAGAGTACAAAATTTCATGCTTCAAGATTGCTTATGGTTTGCTTCCAGAACCCCAAATAAGCAGCAGAGACAATTGCTTCATCAAGGACTCCATCAACAGAGCAGGCATGATCTCAAATTCTGGATATCCCACTCAAAACCAGAAACTCTCAGTACTTCTGAGCTCTTCCTGCATGAATTTAGCCTTAAATTCAAGAGAAACACTCTCTTCTATGTCCATGATACTTTCGGGGTGTACAGCTGAAAGGATGCAAGGCCAGCAAAAGCAGAGTTTATGTTTGCAAAGTCAAGGGCAGCTTGGCTGCAGTGGGACAGGAGGTAGGGGAGGAAGAGGAGGAGACAGCAGGAGGGCCAGGCAGCTGTAAAGTTGTGTTAATATTATGCTTGGAAGATAACACAGGCTATCAGATACATGGCTGCTCCATAGGTAGTGCCCTAGGCCAGTTACCTGCTGGTGCAGGTTGTGGCAAAGCTCTGTCAACACCAGCAGAGCTGTGCAGTGTCACACCAGGCAGCATCTGCTGCTGGGAGAGAGGGGTTCAGCTGCACAGCCCTGACCTGCCCCTACTGCTGCCTTAATGGACTCCGGTTTCATTATCAGGGTAATTTCGGCACTCAAGGCTCCCCACATGCACAGTTTCAGCAAGGCTGGAATTGCTGTTGTGTGAGGCAGTGCCTGGAATTACACCACCCATCCATCCCTCTCTCCCTCCATTCCTTCCCCAGTTGCCACCCACAGTCTCAGAGCTTCAGAGAGCTGCACTTCCCCACCCTGGGCCTGACACTGAATGGAAATGTTTTAGCTCTGTGTGGCTCATTTGGCTTCTGCAGATCAACCCTTGGGGCCATCCTCAGCCCAGATCCAAGAAATGAGCTGAGCTGAGGGAAGGGAATAATTTCTGCTGCCCCTGAAGCCTCATCCCTCCTATTGCAGCTGGCAGCTCAAAAGGCTCCATCCTGCCAAGACTGAATCTTAATTGAGATCAGTGGAAAAGACAAGCTGCTGCCAGGGCCGCCCTGATCCTGGGCTCACAGAGAACATGGGCAGAGCTTGCCCAGCCCCACAAGAGAAGGCCTTCACTAGGGTATACAAAAAATAAAATTCCCTTCAGAGTATCAGTGGAAGCAGTGCGAGGAGGCCAAGGAGAGGACATAGCTTAGCTGGGTAGTTTTCAGAGGAAGAGCAGGCAGAACCACACCACATGGAAAATCCTCCTGTCCCTGCAGCCTGCTGGGAAGGGGAGCCACCAGCAAAGGCCGAGTAAAAGGCTAGTAACCCCCAGGTCCTGCAGTGAATTCAAATAGTATAGCCATCTCTGAACAAACACACAAAACTATCACAGTCATGCCCAGAAATGCTCTTGCCAAGAGCTACAGGAAGGACAAGAAGAGAAAGACTAGAGCAAGACCTCTTCAGGCATCCCCTCTGCATGTGGCACCAGGATGCTACATGACACTTTTTCCAAGCCACTGCTGCTGTCTCCAAGCCCACTTGTTTCAAAGACCCTGGCAGAGCTCACTCGTGCCTCCGTGATTAGGCACAGTCTAGCCACCTCTTTGGCTTCGTGGAGGCGACCAGAATCAACGCTGCCAACTCCTAATGCACCCAAGATGGGTGTTCCTGACCCAGCTTCCTTACAAGCACAGAGTCTTGTCATCTCAGCACTGTCTTGTCCCAGTAGCAGCAAAGTGCAGCAGGAGGGGAGCAGAGCAAGTAGCTGTCAGCCTGGGTTATTTTTACACCATTTTTTCCACCTTGCATATTTAGGTGCATCTCCAAGTCCATACATCAGAGGAAAGCCACCGTGGCAAGTGTTGCTCAGACTGGAAGCTTTGGAAGAGCCTCCTTTGCTGACTCAGGGGAACAGAGTTACCAGCAGCTTATGCAGCAGATGCCATGTCAGAGCTGTTGGATCTGAACAATAAAAATGGGCTCTTGCTCTGGTAAAATGGTTTTAATGGGATTTTCCAGCCAGCAAACATGCTTTGAGGGACACACCCAGGACATTCAGCCATCAGCAACAGGACTGCATGCAGAAGGCTCTTGGCCAGCCAGACTGGGAGGGGCATTTAAACACAAGTTTCTAGCCTTCATCTTTATAGCCTGCTATTTCTTTCCTGGGTTGCTAAGGATGCCCCAGAGCACATCCCTCTGGGATGTCCCAGATTCAGCAAGGCACGGTCAGTAACAGCCCATCACCAGTAAACTGTAGCTTTAGCAAACCTGTGCCAGAGAACTCCAGCTGAACCCCAGCAGCTGGAGGGGTTTTCATTTCCACTTCTCCAAGGCTGGTATTTCAAGGTGTTTTTATTTCTTTTTAATCAATGCACATGGCCAGCTCTGGAGGGGGCTGAATGAAGAGAGGGAGGCGGTGCAGCCACTGTTTCTGTACAAAGTATTTCCACATGCAAGTGAAATGGGGCTCAACTCGCTCGGTGCGCGTTTTGCAGTGCGGTTACGGGCTGTCATTCCACCTCCACAAAGCTGTTATTTATTTACTTAAAGACTTGCATTCCATGGAAAAAGATGCCCCAAGATAGCACTGTGTTTCTAAAATTAAACCCAGCTGGATGGAGTGGGGGGCAAGCAAGTGAGCACTCCTGTGCTCCCAACACAGCAGCGGGAACAAGGTTCCCCATATCCCTCACTCCCCCACTCTCACTGAGCAGCAGGAGAGCCTGGCAAAATGCCTCCTGTGTCCTCAGCCAAGAGGGAGGCAGCTCTCTGGGAAGTCAGACCAAGTGCCTTACTCAACAGCAGGGGTTCCACTTCTTCCCAGTTCAGGGGATCAGGGTTTAAGAGCAGTGATAGCCCTTCCTGCCCAAGCAGCTCTGCAAAGCCCTCACCCTGCTGCAGGACAGCAGACACCTCACCGTGTGCCTGACACAGGTTTGAGTGTGGCCAGAAGTC